GGAAAATAGGCTTTATCTCAAAAAACAAAACCAAAAAGTCTGTTCATAAGGAAAAGACAAAAAAGGCTTAAATTCAAATGGAAAAAAAAAATAGAAAGTAACAGAGACTTGAGAAAATGTATTTGGTGTTCTCATCTGTTAAATGGGAATAATCATTGCATTTACCTCACAGGGTTGTCATGAGGATTAAATAAACTCATTACAATCAAAGCATGGAAAATAGTGTCTAGGCCCTTATTGAATACTCAATAAATATTAGTGCTAATTATTATTATTACTATTGGCAATGGCTCATGTTATTAGACCATCTCTTGCTTTTCTACTAGGGAAAGCAAACAGTCTTAAAGGGATCACAATCTTGTGAAAATCCTGGCTGCCGAGCAATGATAGCCTGATTTCACAGAGGAAGTACACTCAAGAAATTGCTCAAGGTTCCCCCAATCCAGAAGTAAGAAGAGGTTATTACTGAGGGATCAGTGTTTCTGATTTGTGAAGGGAAGGCTATCATCTAAAAAAGAGATAAGGCTTGTTCTGCATTTTCCAGAGAGTTGGCCTTGAATTAAATGGTGTAAGTTCCAGAGGGAAATGTCTGCTCAGTATAAGAAATACTCCAACGTCAAAAAACTCTCATCTTATAAAAGGACAGGCTGCCTAGAAGGGTAGAGTATACTGTTACTGAGTATAAAAGTAGGAGTTTCATCAGTCACGGATAATAAAGAAGATTCCTTAGCAAGTCCACACTAGGTGACAATAATGACAACCACCACCACCACAAGGACAGTAATGCCAGTTGATACTAACTGCCCAGCACCGCTGTAAGGACTTTACCTAGAGTGACCCTTACCTCAGCCACCCAGCTCCACAGTCTGTGTTTTTAGCCACTACCTCCCAGTTCGGAATCCTGAGCAACGTACTTAATGTCTCTGTGCCTCCACGATAAGTGAGGACACATAAAATGCGGATAATATGGCACTAATCTCAGAGGATACTGATGAAGATTAAATGAAACAATACATTTGTTTAGCAGCTAGAAGAGTGCCTGACATGTAGCAAGTACTTTATATATACTTTTTAATATAAAGGTCATATCAACTTTTAAGAAAACCTTTTTACTTGCATGGCAAGGTAGGGAAGGCATAAAGAACTGTCTTGGCTACAGTGAGCAATCTGACTCCAAAAGAAAATTTTTTTTTAAATCAACTAAATGGAACTCAAGGCTTGCCGATTCAGGATTGAGTCTCTGAACACAATGAGACATGACAAATATGGGCAAAACTGCTAAAGTGAGAGTTCTGCAGTGAGATCAGATTCTCTGTATACTTTGTCATGGATGACTGTAACGTAAGACCTTGGGAAAAAACGGCCTATTCCATGACCCGCTGCTGACTTCTCTTAGCATCTCCAAGATCTTGGCCAATCACTCAACTCCACTTTCAGCAGAATACTTATTTGCTTCACACACTTGACTTTACCTAGTTCCCGCTTAACCAATTCCCAAACTTAGGTCAATACAATCTACTTCTTTTGCACCGGACATCCAATTGCAACCTGTCATCCAAGGTGGCCTAATAAAGCTCCTACTCACCCTTGTCACTCCTTTACAGATTCTCACAGAGGCAGCATTAAACCTTTACTTCATTCAAGCTTCCAAATCTACTCCTGCCCTACCCTCAAACATCCTACACTCCTTAAAAATTGGAAAATAGAAGCAATCAGATACAAATTCTTTTCACTTTTCATATACACCTTCCTCCAAACCCCTAACCTCCTGCAACACAAATCAGTTCAACATTTACTGCTATCTTTGCCTAGCCTTTTCACTCTCCTTCCTGTTGCAAAAGAAAAAAAAAATTATTCTAGACAACCTTTCCAAGACCAACTCTTTCTTCTATTCACTGATGCTACTCAGGAAATATCAGTTACATCATCTTCTTCGGTTTGTTGTTTTGGCAACTATTCCCCCCAATCTCCCACTTCTCTCTTGGATCTTCAGACTTTTTCTACTCATCTAAAAACATGCCAATAAGAAAACAATTCTCAGTCCTGTTTCCCTCATTAAGCCTGACCCTTTCCCCCTTATATGCTAAATATCTAAGAGTGGTCTCTTGCTATAGGTATGTAGCCGGCTGAACTGATAAATGTGAACCACTGGAAGGCAATCCCATACAGGTTATTCCTGATTACAATCAATCTTTTAAGTACGCTTAAAGGTTCCGACATCCAGCAGCTGCAGATTTGGTGACCATTAATTATATGTTCCATTTACACTGTGTTTTTGAGAAACATAATAAAGGAAAATATACAACAAAGGTTTGTTATATATGACAAACTGTACTTTAACTCAACGTTGATATGTGCTTTGGGGCTTCTAGCACAAAGTGTATCGATTAGCAATACTAATGCCTTAAAAAGGTTTTTTTGAGGCTAATTCTTACATGAGCTAAGCCTTTACATTCTATAGAGTAATGACTGAAGCCATGAGCAATAATATAATAATCTAAATTGTCTATATAAACTCTTAGAGGCTTATCTGATTTAAAACTTACCACCTATATAGAAAAATAAACTTATAGAAATAAAAGTTTCTCTATACCTTCAGGGAAAAGGATCTGGTAAAAGCCCATAAAACAGGAGAACAAGATGTACTGAACAAGAAGAAAGCAAGCCATTGAGGGTGGAGCACAGAAAGCAAGGGGAGGGAGAGGCAAGGGCCAGACTGCACAGGTCCTCCTAGGGCAGAATTAATACATTTCAGTACACCATAAGAACAACAGGAAGCAAATGAAAAGCTTTAAGCTGGGAGATGGAAGGATCAGATCTGCAATTTTAAAAGGATTACTCTAGTTGCTGTATGGAGGATGAACGGGTAGCCAACCAGAACGAGTGTGAAGGGACAAGTGGGAATTAGGAGGCCTAAGAGGGAAATGATGGTAGGCTGGATCCAGGTGGCAGTACAGATGAAAGAAGACAGATTCTGGAAGATAAAATCAATAAGATCTGGTGAATGATTAGATATGAGGGAAAGAAAAGAGAGATGTCAGTGAGATGCTGGTTTCCTGAATTTATATACACATATACATGGAATGCAGAGTAACATCTTGTATAACATATATATAACGAATTATTAACAGAAATTACCTATGGGTAGGAAAGATGAATTTTACATAGTAAAAGGCAGACTTTCTTTTTTTTTTTTTAACTATATAGATATCTTCATTGTTTAAATATTTTTATAAGCAGAAGGTATACATTATTTCATAGTTAAATTCAAATGCAATAAAAAGAAACAGCACTTTCCTGGGTAAAAAGGATAGGAATGGCATTTTAGGGAAAGGAACAATTTAATCAAAGGTACAAACACATGAAAGTACACGGCATATTTAGAGTATCAAGTGGTCTAGTGTTTACAGAGTAAGAAGGGAAGATGTGTAATTGGGACAGGATGAGCAGAGGATTAAACCTGTGTTAGAGTATAGCCAGCTCATGAAGGACCTTATCATATGTCAAGTTAAAGAAAGCATTCTCTAAACTGTAGAAAATGGAGAAGCATATAAAGTTTTTAAGCAGGAGGATGACAAACTCAAGTTTATATTTTAGAAAGATCACTTTAGAGGCAGTGTGAAGACTGGGCCAAAAGGGAGGTAAGAAAATAGGCTGCGAGATCAATTACGCCGGAACTTAAGCTAAATCAGGGGAACAGAGATAGAGAAGGGGAGACAGAAGATTCACTTCACAAGTAGACAGGACTTGGTGACTGAGCTGGATGTGACACACAGAGAAAAGGGAAAGTCAAAGATGCTTCCCATGGTTTTAAGAAATTAGATAGGATGACATCAGTTTAGGTAACCAAAGAACAAGTTAAATGGAGAGATAATAAATTTTGCTTTGAAGATGCTGAGGTTAAAGTACCTCTGGAAGCAGGTCAAAGTGCCCAACAGGAAAGTTGGACATATACGTTTGAATTTGAGGAACAAGGTCAGAACTGGAGCACATTAACCCTTTTACCCAGAATAGAGAATTTTAAGCCTGTGGACACGATCTTACCCTCGATGTAATGCACTGAATTCTTGAGGCAACTGCCAAAAGTTGACCAGTTCCATTTATTCTCATAGTTGTAAAAATTCCACATAATTGTTAAAGTCTCTGTAGGCAATAACTTAAAGTGAGCCGAACATTTTGTCTTGGTTTCTTGGTCTCTCTTTTATTTTTTTCCCCTTCCCCTTTTGTTTGCCATTCTTTCTATCTACCTACTTATCTAGTTAAGGAAGATACAGGAAATATAAGGAAGTATAATATAAAAAAATTTGTTATTAAATATTTTCATACTTTGTCTTAATTGTAAAAGGCAAAGAAAAGAACATTTCACAATTCTACCTTTAACAAAACCTAAGTTAAATAATGATTTACCTAGGTGACTCTCCCCTGATTTCCTCTGGCAAGTCACTGCCCCTTAATTAAACGACATCCCCCAGGCAGTCAACTCCAGCTGTAGCTTTAACCACAGAGGTCCCTGAAACAATTCCACAGTCCTGTGGTTGCTTACTGTGAGAAGTTTGAGTCACACTGTACCTCTGTCTAACTGATGATGCCCTAGTTTCTTGGGAGGTGGAGAGGAAGGACCTGTTGGCAAGGAAACAGCTGCTTCCTTCCTGAGCCAGGGAAAACCAAGAAGGTGACAGATGGGCAGAGCATAAAAGCAGCCAAAAGTTGCGCTGGTTCCTTGTTGGCAAGGATTTTCACTGAGGCACGATTGGGTATTTTAAAGCCTATTAATGACTGAGGGACTTTCATCTGCCTGGGTGCTCTGCTGAAGTTCAACAGGGCTTCCCACACATCTACAATGGAAAAACTTTTAAATTTGCAGTGGTACAAAGAACCTGGCCTCAGCCTATGTACAGTGGGCTAAGACTGCAAGGCACTGTCCCATTTCACTTCAGGATTATGCCCAAAAGAATGCACTTTCTGGTTAAAAAAAAAAGAAAAGAAAGAAAGAAATTCTGTATAGTAGTTATATTCGTACAACTTATTAGAATTACTATTAAAATTTCATTAGAAAACGTTTTTTAAATATGTTTACTTTTATATATTTAATTTTAAAAGATTTGTTGCAGACTTTTATATTCTGCTCTTTTATCACCATCCCCCATCCACTTCTGTACCCAGAAAATTAAATGTTCAAGGATTCCTGGGTAAAACAGACAACTACTGGATGGATAAAACTAACATTTTAAAAATACCTGTACATAGGTAAGTTATTGTTCTTCATCAAATAGAAATTAGCAATCACTGAAAATAACATTAAAAATTAGTGTGGGCATGAAGTATGGAATTTTAAAACATCAGTTTACTATGCTGATTAATTCAACATTTATATTTGCATCAGAACTTAATAATCGCATAAATAAATAGAGCTCTCAGTTATTTTAAAAAATCAAGGGATAACATATGTATTTAGACATATTAGCAGCGTAAAGATGTATGCTTCAACACACTTATTGGGAAAACGTCTGAAAATATTACTACACTGAATTCAAGGGCACCCGCAGGAATCTGACATAAAAGTTCTCTAGAATAACAACATTTCAGGAAATTCCAAAAAAGGAAAAGGGTAAAATAGGAAATAGCCTCAAATTAATCGACAAAGTTCAGTGCTTGTTCCAACTTCATTTTTCTCTCCATTGCAAAAACAAAACAAAACCGAGTCTCAGGCTGGGTGGGTGAATCACTTAGATGAAAGTTCATCTACTGGAATAAATGGAGAGGCCGCTTGGGCAGGTGACACAGGAGAGTCGGTGGTAGTGCTGACTTTCGCTGGTGAATTACAAGAAGACCCGGCACTGCTGCTGTTTCCATCAAGGGTATCGGAAGATACACACACACCAGGATCTGACAGCTGTGCAACGTCAGAAGAAAGCATGTTGGTGATGCCCTGGAAAAATCTCTTTGGCTGGTATTCAGTTTCCATTTCACATTTTCTTTTCAATGGTCCAAGAACACTTGGTCTAATGCAATTAATTGGACTCTGGCTTCTCCGGGTAGTAAACCGGGTCGTTGGGCTGGGAATAGGGCTTGGAGGCAATCCATTGCTACTCACAAAACTTTGCAAAGATGGTGAAAAACACTGCTTCCCAATTCCCCGGGTGGGTGACGGTGCTGGCGACACCGGAATGAAATCGATGCGTTTCGGGGAGGCGGATTTCTCCACGTCGTTGTCACTCAGGCTGAAACTTTCCTCCCAGGAGTGGCTTATCTGCATTGCGTTCTGCACCTCGCGCTCGTGGACCGTCTCTCGATTGATCAAGTCCATACCCTCCTCCTGTTTGATCTGGTGCAAGCGGCTGCTGTGCATGCGGACGGGGGAGGCCGGTAGTAGCAGGCCGTGGCGGCTCGGGAACGTTGTGCTGTTTCGCCTGGCGCTCGGCGCCTCGGCCTGGAACACCGGCGAAGTGTCACTGAGGCCGTGGATCAGGGGGGCGCTGTTAGACCTCCTGAGGCCCCCGCCGCCACCGCCGCTGCCGCTGCCGCCGCCCTCCGCCGGGCTCCCAACCGTGCCTGGAGGCAGCTCCAGGTCCAGCTCCATCTTCTCCTGAGCCATGTCGCGGGCAGGGAGGCGGGGGCGGTGCTCAAAGACCTAGGATTCCCATTCCCCACAGTCCAGGGCCGCTGCCGCCGCCACCGCCACCGCGAATCTGTCAGCGGGTTCGTCCCTCTGCGCATGCGTGCCCCTTGGCGCAGGCGCCCTACAATGTCTCTCTTCGCGGCGCCCGCTTAACGCAGAATAGCTGCGTCGCAGCCCTAGGGGGAGGGGGGAGGAGTGGTTGGGCCGCCAGTCAGTACGTTCCTTCCGCTGATAGCTGTGAGCGCAGACCTCCTTTAACGCATATTAATAAGGTTACCACCATATTCAGGAGTATATATTTATAAAATTAGAGCTCTGAAAGAGAGGCCCTTGGCGATGTGGGGCTGTGTGATTACGAGTGGAGTTCGTCCTAACCAGAGAGGCCTTCCCTGAGGAAGGGACCATCTCCTGAGATCCCAAGAAGCAGGCCAAAAGGATGGGGTGTAGAACTGCCTGGGAAGCGGGAAGCAAGGGCTGCCAGCTGGGTGGCTGGCGGGAACCAGGAAGGGAGGGAGGGAGTATGGCCTGGAGTGGAGAGTAAGCTGGCGGGACGTGAGGTGGTGGACCTTTATCCTGAGAACAGTGAAAACTCGGAAGGTTTTCCAGCCATGGGTATAATGGCGACTGAAAAGGCCCATGGCTGCAGTCCGGGGAATAACGTTATTGGGAGATTAGAACCTACAGAAAAAGACCAGAGAGGAGGCAGTCCTCGGGGCCAGAGATGATGGTAATTTGCAGTAAGGTGGTACTGTAGGAGAGGAGTTGGAGAGAATGGGAAAATCAGGGAACTCGGTCAAAGAGGGAAAAAAACCAACCTGTATTACTATTGTTTTATTTAGAATCATATTTCCAGCACAGGCATGTGTGTTCAATCATGTTCATTTAGGATGAGGAGTTTAATGAGGGGAAAACCAGTAGGTCCTCGAACTTTAAAAATAAAAACACAATACTTGGCTCATGTAAGTAGCATAAACTTTCATATCATTAAAAATTTATTTATTCTTTAGTGTCTTCAGTCAGATTTTTTCGCACATAACCAACTGTGTGCCAGGCAATGTGGTAGGAATTAGGCCCTAATATGGAGACATTTAATTTCTATCTGGGGGGGGGGAAGAGATAAATATATGGGCTATTTTTCAGATAGTGGTAAGCCTTAGGAAAAAATAAAATAGGGTGGTGTGATAGAGCACTACTGGTAGAAGGGAGGGGGCAATTAGATAGAGCTGGGATCTAAATGACAAGAAGCAAGTCCTGCGGACATCTGGGGGATGAATATTCCAACCATAGAGACTAGCAGGTGCAAAGGCCCAAGGCAAATGGAAGTGTGGTAAGCTGGCAAGAAAAGAAAAGGGCCATGCCGCTGAAGCATAAGGGGGGGGAGTGGTATGAGGGGGTAAAAGAGTTTGGCTTTTATTCTAAGTATGATGAAAAGGCACTGGGGAATTTTAAGCAGGAGAGTGATATTATCTGGTTTATGTTTTAGATATCACTTTGGCTCTGTGGAAAACAGGCTGAAAGAGGGCAGGAGTGGAGACAAAGATGGATTAGGAACCATGGCAACAGTACAGACAAGAGATTACTGGACTAGGGTTGTTATCAGTGGCGATGGGGTAGAAGTAGGTGGATTCAGGATATGTTTTGGAAGTAGAACCTATAGGATGTGCAGATGGATTAGATTTAGATGGTGAAAGAAATAGACAATTCAAAGGCAACTCACAGGTGTTTTACTTAAACTGGGTAGATGGCAGTATCATTTACTGAGATAGCGAAAGAGTGTAGTTAGAGGAGTAGAAATTAAGAGTTCTGTTTTGGTTGATTTGAGTTGGAAGTGTCTATTAGATAACCATGTGCCTAGGTGAACTGAAAGAGAGCTTAGTGATTTTTGTTTGGCCTACTTTTTGCAGTTGAAGAAAGTAAGATCCAGAGAGGCCGGCACAGTCAGCATCCCATAGCTTGTTTAGTAGTGGGAACCAGTACTAGAATCCAGTATGAGAATCCTACTCCATGCCCTTTCCACTGTCTCTCAAACAGCTTTTAATTTGAAGTCCCCATGGAATACAGATCCTGGTAATGAAATAATGTTGATTATTCATACCTCTAATTATAGAAACTGATTTAAATTTTCCAAGTGCCAGACGCTATTCAAGGTGCATCATATGTAGAATCTCATTTAATCCTCACACTAACCCTAGGAAGTAAGTAGCATTGTTCCAGTTTGCAAGGGAAACTGAGAGGCAGTGATTCAGTAATGTGCCCAGGATGACAGGAAGCAGTGGGACCTCGCCCTTCTGGCTCCAGAGCATGGGCACGATGGTGCCTCCTCCACGTGCAGTAACATTTCAGCCTAGGAGAAACCACTTCCAGATTGTTTACACCTTTGTGAGTGCAATGGTATTTGAGACAGAATTTGAAGGACAGGTAGGATTTTAATAGATGATATTTTATATAGAATTGGAAGCATGAGTATAAAATAGCAAATTTGCTAATACATAAACTACATGGAGAAGAATAGGTAATGGGAAAAAGTTGGAAATTAAAGCTGAAGTCAGAGAATTGGAGCTCTGAATGCCAAACAAAAGTGCCTGTATTTAACGTGTGGGGCAACAGGAAGCCGTTGACAAGAGGAATGACACAATGAGAGCTATGCTTTAGGGCCTGCCAGGTGGATGGATCTTAGATAGAGGGAAGTAGAAGAATGGAAGGTGGAAAGAACCAACATTTTCTAAGTGCCCAATGCTGCCAGGCCCTTTAAACACTATAGTTCCACTTAATTCTCAGTGTAATCCTATAAAGCAGATACTGTTATGCTTATCTTATAAAGGGACAAGTGAGGTTCAAAAATTGCAAAAGCCCCTATAGCTACATTGAAGAACAAAGATCTGAACCAATATGAATCAAGACCTCACTTCAAAACCTATATTCTTTTTGCTGCTTTCCCCATGAAACAACGGACAAAGGATTAATCTCCAAAATATACAAACAGCTCATGGAGCTCAATATCAAAAAAACAAACAATTCAATTAAAAAATGGGCAGAAGACCTAAATGGACATTTCACCAAAGAAGACATACAGATGGCCAAGAGGCACATGACAAGATGCTCAACATCACTAATTATTAGAGAAATGCAAATCAAAACTACAATGAGGTATCACCTCACACCAGTCAGAATGCCCATTATCAAAAAATCTAGAGACTATAAATGCTGGAACGGGTGTGGTGAAAAAGGAACCCTCCTGCACTGTTGGTGGGAATGTAAACTGATACAGCCACGATGGAGAACAGTATGGAGGTTCCTTCAAAAACTAAAAATAGGGCTTCCCTGGTGGCGCAGTGGTTGAGAGTCCGCCTGCCGATGCAGGGGACACGGGTTTGTTCCCCGGTCCGGGAGGATCCCACATGCTGCGGAGCGGCTGGGCCCGTGAGCCATGGCCAATGAACCTGCACGTCCGGAGCCTGTGCACCGCAACGGGAGAGGCCCCCCCCGCAAAAAAAAAACTAAAAATAGAACTACCATAAGACCCAGGAATTCCACTACTGGGCATATACCCTGAGAAAACCATAATTCAAAAAGAGTCACATACCACAATGTTCACTGCAGCACTATTTACAATTGCCAGGACATGGAACCAACCTAAATGTCCACTGACAGTTGAATGGATAAAGAAGATGTGGCGCATATATACAATGGAATATTACTCAGCCATAAAAAGAAACAAAATTGAGTTATTTGTAGTGAGGTGGATGGACCTAGAGTCTGTCATACAGAGTGAAGTAAGTCAGAAAGAGAAAAACAAATACCGTGTACTAACACATATATATGGAATCTAAAAAATAAAAGAAAAAATGGTACTGATGAACCTAGGGGCAGGAATAAAGACGTAGACATAGAGGATGGACTTGAGGACACGGGGGTGGGGGGTGGGGAAGAGGAAGCTGGGGCAAAGTGAGAGAGTGGCATCAACATATATACACACTACCGAATATAAAATAGCTAGCTAGTGGGAAGCAGCAGCATAGCACAGGGAGATGAGCTCGGTGCTTTGTGATGACCTAGAGAGGTGGGATAGGGAGGGTGGGAGGGAGGCTTAGGGGGGAGGGGATGTGGGGATGTTTGTGTGCATGGGGCTGATTCACTTTGTTGTACGACAGAGACTAACACCGTATTGGAAGCAATTATACTCCAATAAAGATCTATTAAAAAAAAAAAAAGATGGAGAATTTGATGGCTAACTCTGAGATGAAAAGAGGGTCTAAACTAAAGTTGGGAATGGCAGAAAAAGGAGATAGATGTGGAGACCGGAAGGTAACAACCCAGAACCTGACTGCTGCCTGGCTGTATGGAGGATGAACAGAGAGGAGTCACAAACAACTGAAGTTCAAGCATGAGCAGCTGAAAGAATGGTACAACAGTACTGAATAAAAACAGAAGAGAGAGGAAGAGCTTCCGGAAGAAAATCAATATTAGATGAATAGGAAAAAAGTATTAACTATAGAGCTTATTTTATAATATCCATAGCATATTGCTAATTTGCATATTACTAAATTATTTCTATCAATAGTAGGTCTCAAATGTGCCAACATTGTTCATCCATGTCTGGATAAACACAGTAATTATCTTTACTAATAAAGCACAGAGATGGTGATAACTACAAAATCAAACATACACCTATTAGAGATCTTCACTCGTTTCCCTGTTTCTACCCTTGTCTCTACAGTCAATTCTCCACCCTATGTTCAAGGTCATCATTAAAAATAAGACTTGAAGAGTCACTTCCCTATTCAAAACTCTTTGGTGGATTCCCACTCAGAGGGAAAAAGCCGACCGAGGTCATTTCAATGACCTATAGAGCTCTATCTGGGTCCCTGCCATCCCTCTGCCTACCCACGCAGTCACTGCCTTCCTCCAGCTGCAGAGGCCTCCTTGCTATGCTTCGGCATGCTCCCCCGCCACCTAGCTTACTCTTCCTCCAGTGGACATCAAATTGTTCCATCCCTTCAGCTCTCTGCGCGAATGACCTTTCCTTGTAAAAAGCAACAACAGTTCCCAACACCAAGTCTACACTCCCATCCCCC